TGTTTTCAATTGTAATTGGCCAACCTTTTTAAAAATCGGTATATCTGGACCATTTGTAAATGAACTTTGTTTTACTTCAAAAACATTCTTTAATATTTACTTTAATATTTACTCAAAAATAAGTTTATGATATGGTAAATACAATAAATTTCGCACTAAATATTATTTAAATAATACATTTTTTTTATGTATAGAACTATGAATAATTTGAAATAAAAATTAAGTGATCGAGTTACGCATTTTTTTATTCTTATATTAACTAAGCATTTTTAAAATAATTTTATTCTTCTCGCGCCTGATAAGCGCTAAAAGTACATTTTATTACAAACTCGGCGCAAAGCCATTAAACCATTGACTAAAGAAAGGTAAACCTTATGCACTCGTTATTTAAAGGTAAACAAAAATGTTATTATTACATAACTTCAAGATAATTTATTTTCAACACAACTTTTACTTTAAAAATATTTTTTTAAAACAGAGTGTCAGATATGTTCAAATCAACAATATACGCCAATCATACCGATTAACATTAAGTTCGTTATATTTGTTTGTTTTTTGTTGTTAAATATTTGACTTTTGACACTAACACCGTCCACGAACCAGTTCAAAGTAGCAAGGTAGATAAATACACCTTGTGAGAATTAGTGAGCACATCTGACCATCTCCACGATACAAACAAATTACAGCACCTTATGACTTATGTAGATAATAAATATAATAAACGCCGTCGCAACATGCAGTCGGTTCAACCAATATAAAATGTTAATTAAACAAAATATAATACAAAAAATAACTAAATAAAGAGGTCCCAATTTTTTGCGTTAAACGTTATAATGAAACGTATTGAATAATAAACAGGACCGCATTTAGTAGTTGTTTAATTACGCGGGATTGTAATATCGAAGATGAATTAGTATTTCTAAAGTCAGTTTATAAGATTTTGTTAAAACTTTTAATGTCCATAAGTCAATAAAAAAATTTTTGTGTGAGTAATGATTACAATTACATTATTATAGTATAGTATTATTTGATAGTCACTATAGTATGGAGAAGGAGGCTAAGAAATAGATCCTTCAATATTACAAATGGTCTTATGAGCCAATAGACTTTGCTATTAATAATACATCTAAGATCTAATTTGAACCTATTATTGTTATCTCACATTAAGTATATCGCAAACTTTTATTGTTATCTTCTTTTCATAAAATGTCAATTAAAAATGGTTTGTGACTGCATAGAAAATTAAAGATTTCTGTATTCAAAACGGTAAAAAAAGAATAGAAATGTTGGTCTAAAATCACTTTACTTGTGATTCAACAGATTCAAAAATAATATTAATAAAATTGTTTATAAATTTTGTTTACTATCATATGATAAAATTAAAAATAATTGTTCCTATTAAACAATATTATAATTTAAGAGTTTTATTCTGAAGATATGAAAAAAATAATTATTTAATCAAATATTATTGTTGAGTATTTTGAATCTAATATTTTTTTAACAAACGTTTTAAATTCTCAATAGTGTCAAAATGATTAGCCTACCGATATAATGTTTTAGATTTATTGCGTGACGTGTTGGTCAATGACCGTTATAGTGGCGTCATGAATATGTCCTGTTTACTTTTAACGGTCACGTTATTTCATGTTGGGTACTGTTGTTGAACGGACTTTTGGCGCTTGATATTTTTAATAAAACTATATTATTTTATGAACAATTTTTTATTTTATAATAATACACTATTACATTAAAAAATTAATTCAAATATTAAACGTACAATAACCTAAAACCTACTAATATCAATAAAAAAAAATGAGTGATATCCCAACAAAGATACTCCGCCATATTCCGCGTATAAAACGCTAAGTAGTGTTCCTCGCCATTGAATAAAGAGTTAAAAATTGTTCATCTTTTAGAGTATTTAAAAGATAAATTTATTTCTTTTATTAATCTATATTTTAATACCACACTTATAAAGTTAATAAATATTTATTCTTATATAATATTGTATAATTGATAATGCAATAGGACATAATTTAGACATTTTTCTGTATTGTAAAAACTGCAATTAGTTAAAATCAAGTTAGAAAATATTTTAATTAAAAACTAATATTCGTTTAATGACAGTATTCATTCATAATTATGTTGCCCCATAAAAAAAAAACAGCTCTTTAGGTGGTGATATAACAATGTAATATGTGGCACTAATTATGTTAATTTGAGTATATAGACGATGCTTGGTCCTACTCTAAAATAATTGATAAAATAATCCTAAACTATTTAAGAAAAATACATTGATTTTTAAAAAAATGGAGTCATACATTTGTGTTTATTACTTCCTGTACGCAAATATACATAATAAGTTCCATTTTATTTCACTGATAGTTTGTCATATGTACTTAATACAATATGAAATTGTTAGTGTATTTTTAAATATGTAACAAAATACACCAAGCTAAGTTAAAGCATTTATTAGTAATTTTTTACACAAATTATACCTATAATTTAAAAATTANTAAGTTAAAGCATTTATTAGTAATTTTTTACACAAATTATACCTATAATTTAAAAATTAGCTATAAAAATATATCACAACTTTTATAGCTATTTAAAAAAAAAAAAATTATTTTACTTAGCGTATAACAGTTTTTGTAGGGATACATTTACATTGCAATTTAAATATCTGGATTTCGGGATTCCTGAAAATTCTGGTAGTACGTGGGTCATTATTTTATACATTTTAGTCTGCGATTAATATTTCTTGTATTATTTTTCATTAAACGATAGGTTTTGTTATCAGAAGTCAATTTGATCCGAATGTAGGTCAACTTGATATCACAATTTGCGATAAAAATTATTACTTTTTTTTAATATTTTATGTTTGTCGCTCTACTGTATGCAGAAATTAAGTTTTTAAATAATATTGCAAAATTAATTATTAAACATTAAATATTATAATATTTTTAAAGTGGACTATTTTCTCGATTTTAGGATCGACTGGACCGGTTCAAACCGAACCATGCAAGGATCTACTATTACTATTAATATGCACATTTCTACGCATTACCCAAAATAAACGACTGTATCTTTTTTTAATAGTAATTATTAATAGTGTAACAAAATACTATTACGAGGTTCACACAAAAATTCAAAATTTACCAATATACAGTCCCGCTAGTCTTCTATTTCCTCGCCTTAATTCCAACTACTTGCGGTCGATCACACTTAGCCTAAACTGCTACTTAACAAGATCTCTCACATCATATATGCTCACATCAACCGTCCTCAAATCGCATTCAATTACATCCCTCCACCTCTTTTTTGGTCTTCCTCTACCTCTTCTTCTTTCAACACTCATTTCTATAGCTGTTCTTACAGCTTCTGTTTCCTCTATCCATATAACATTACCATTCCATCTAAGTCTATTTTCTCTCATCTTATCTACGATTGACGCTACACCTATACTCCCTCTAATATGTTCGATCCTTATCCTATCTTCTCTAGTCACTCCATTCATCCACCTAAGTATTTTCACCTCTGATCTACTTTTTTGTCAACAGCTTAACACTCTGAACAATACATCATAGCTGATCTCACTAAGTCTTATAAAATTTACCTTTCAGTCTCATTAAAATTCTTTTATCGCATACACTCCAGACGCTTCTTTCCACTTTACAACAAATTACTTTCTGAAAAGTTTTGTATCAAGCCCTTCAATTTTTATACAAGTTTGCCATAAAAGTAATAGCAACTTTATAATTTTTTATAAGTTCTCCGTAAAAATTACAACACTAAATTATTAAATATCTATTTCATACTATACTTAATTGCTATAATAAATATTTATTCATATATTATACTTATAAATCAAAGAACTACTTATCAGGAATAATGAAGGAAATAGGAATTCATTGTGCTTTTGGTATAATCCACCAATTTCTTAAAATTAAACACTATCTACAAATCTGCATTGAAGCTTTTCTTATAATAGTAGTTATTTTAATTACTGTCAGATATCATCTATACTTGTCCCAATTGTACCACGTCCACACTGTGTCACGACCCTACTGTGTTATCGTTTTTTTTTTTATTATTTCTTTAAACACATTCTGGAAATATTACATCCTTTATGTATATAATAAATAAAAGGTTATATAATGTTCTACAATTGAATAAAAACAATTTTTCCCAACGACTTGTCTCATATATTTAGGTCCCCAAAGTTAAACGACAAATATTTCAGTGAAATAATCACTATTTTTTGTATTATAATTTTCTACTTCAAATTTTTTCAATTATTAACGCCTATAATTTAGAGCAAATAATATATAATATATATAATAATATAGAAAGGAGAGATCAGTATCCTTATTTTAATTTCCATTCTTTCAAAAAAATATAATAATTTAATGGTTTAAGTTTAAATTATAAAGAAAATGTGAGTTCATGCTTCAGAAATTAATCCAAAAATCCCTACTAATAGTAATGTGCAAATTCACATCGTTGTGTATTTTTATTAAAATGATAAATAAGCTAGTTAAAAATAAAGTTGACATCAGTATATGGTATAAGGGATTAATGTAAAAATATAATTCATGATTTATAAATTAAGAAAAACTTGTAGCCAAAAGAACAAAAAAAAATTATTAGCATAATCTTTATTTTTTGATTAATTAAGAAAAAATGATAAAAGAATCACTGTGTACATATTATACTTCAATATTTCATTAGTAATATGTTAGAAATAAAAAAAATATGCGTTTATTATTATTATCTCATTAAATGATTGCATTTTCTAATGAATCGCTAAAAAAATAATGTTAACTATGAAATGTATAAATTACATTAAAGTTAAAGAGGAAAGCGCAGATATGTTACGAATGGTAATAAAAAATACAAAATTTTAAGCCAATATGCAGATAAAAATTATGCTGATCATTTAAAAATATAAAGATGTTAATGCATTTCACACATCCAGAAAGGCATCTAATCAGAAGAATTCTTCTGTGATCATCAATTTTCATATTATATAAATTCATACTGAAGTATCAAAAAATCATTCCATCAGTTGTGTAAATCCTACATACATCATGAAGGTAATTTTAGCTGTTATATCAGTACTTTTTGCCTTCGTGGCTCTTCAAGTTTCAGCAGCTACTAGATTTGGAAGTATGTACAATAGACAATATTTTTATCAATAAATCTTAATAATCTAATATATTTCTATTTTTAATTTTAATTTTATTATTAATACATTTAATATTTATAATACCACTTAATGGTTAAATTAACACGCTTTAAAGTATATATATCAAGACATAATATAATTTTTTAATACTTAAAATAAATATTTTATACATTTTAAGTTTTTCTCGAATAATATAAAATAATCCACTACATATTTTATGATTTAGGTGAAATTAATCGCTTCAGCAACAATTACGATGAAAGTCGTCGTAGTGTAAGCCAAGAATTATTTGAAGTCGATAATCAGTTTAACAACAATAACTACAACAACTACCACAACTACCACAACTACCACAACACCAACAACGATGACAAAAATCATTACAACGATTATGAAAATAACTTCAAGAACTTGGACGAACTTGTCTTCCAAGAAGAATTTAACTACAACAACAACAAAAATGTACACAATGCCAATTTATACTACAACATGAACGTTTATGACTCATCTGCTACACTTGGAAACGCCGTAACAGAAAAGATCGCCGCATTAGAAAGAATAGTAAGCAAGTACTCTGAAATGAGTGACTTACAAGAACCATTATACATTAAGAACGTCGCCGTTAAGTCTACCAAACACAATTCCGTCAACTTCTACAACACTCAATTGAAAAACCTGAATGACGGTGACTTGATGTACATGTTCATCAAGCCCGAATTCGATACTGTATTTGTAGAGTACCAATTTGACCAATTAAGAGCCAAAGGTGCCTTCAAATCCGATTTGCCCCAAAGCAATTATGGTGCATTCACTGTAGACTTAAACAAAGTCCGTAGTAATGTCACCGCTGGTTTCACTGTTGGCCAATACAGATTCAAGCCTGCCACTTTTGAATACGCCGAATCTACCGTAGTAAATGAACAAAACCGTGAAACTACTGCTTTTGATAGTGCCATCAAGAAAAATCTTGTCTGGGAACTTCAAAATGCCGTGTCTGCTGAAGTATACAACTCTACTCACAAGGGAATAATCTCCCAACTTAAAGCTGAAATCACCACACCTCTCTACTCCCTCAACAACGGCCAACAAGCTAAATTATACGACATGAAGTGGACCGAAGATGATTTTACTATCGAACTTAAAAGTATTGGAACCAGATACATGGACCAAGCTAACCAAAAAATTGAATTAATGTCTTTCACTCGCAAGAATATTAACACATACAAAACCCGTTATACCATTCATCTTGACCAACTTCAATGGAATGGAGACTTGATTGTCAATGCCAACGGTCAACGTACCATTGCCCAATCCATTGATTTCAGCATCAAGAACGTTAAAATCCAAGTTATCGTTACCAAGAACGAACACCAACGTTGTGGCACATATTACACTAAGGTCGAAATCCCAAGCGTACAATACAGATTAAACGAAAATTGGGCCACTACACTCCAATCACAAGTAGAACAAAAATTGCCACACTTTATCCAACACTCATTGGAAGCTTACATGCAAAAATCTCTCGAACAACGTTTATGCAATGAACAATATTAAATTATTTTGATACAAATTTTACAATTAAAAATTTAATTTTCTAAAACCATTTAATTTAAAATTATTAAATCATATAAAATTCAGTTTAATGAATTTTGTTAATATCTGTAAATGAAATAAGAAACTTTTTTTTTTATTTTATTATTAGAATCAATAACAAACATTTTTATACCTAGATATTTAATCAATAAAACTTACTCAATATAAATTGTATGCACATGCGAAATTTGTGTTTCTTAAAATTACCAAACAATTAATTCAAGAATGAACATTTTAAAGTTTAATAAAACTATAGATGTAGCTAAGGGACTATAAGGAACTTAATTTCTTAAAAATATATATTTCTGGATAATGTAAGTACAAAATCATGATATTATTTAATATTCGGTTACAATTATAATAAATAACCAATTATAACTACTAATTAATTTTTTTTTATTCGCTTAAACCTAAGAATAATAAATATAATATTTTTAAAATATCAGCGAATTGTTTGTTATATTTTTCACAATACTGACGAATGGTCGTTAGGGTGGATTAAATAATAAAACATCAAATATTTAATTACAGCAATCTCCCTTATATTTTCACTTGATGTAAAATATTTGTACTGTGACTTCGTCGGTGTAGTATCAGAGCAACGTATAAACCAAAATTTTTTTTTTCAACTGAATTTTTTAGATAGAATTGATTGTTACAAGGATAGATTAATAAATATTATATATTGAATATTATATATTCACATACAATTGATTCCTTATAATAAATAGTATAGAATTTTATTATAATACTTATACCTTATTAAAATAAGTAGTATATCTGTGTCATTATTGTATATTACACAATATATTATTAAATTATTATTTTGCGAAATTATCACAGAATTGATAAAAATAATGACAATTTCATCAGTTCACATTTATCAAAGAAACTAAAAACAATAACATTTTATTCTTATCAGACACTCACTATCAATTAAAAGTATATAATAACATTTTTATTGTAAATTATGTTTTCCTTTTGAAAATAATTTAACTATTATGCATTTATTAATTGTTAGTAACTCGTGTGTTCCTTTTACTAATTTGTTAAGTCATAAAAGAGTACACTTGTAATTTAAATTAGGCAGCTGCAGAAGTGTTATGAATACATTTTTATGTGGTCATTACTTAAGTTTGCTGTTTACATCCCTATGATTTTATAGGTAAACATAATTTTGTATTAAAAATATAATACGTCAAAGAGAATATCTTTTTGAATAAGAATATTTATTATTACATCAAAATAGCAAAATAATCTGTTAATTATTTTCGTGTACCTAAGAATCTATTATAAGTTAAACTATTTTTCCTTGTGATTTAAGGTTAAAAAAAAATTAAATAAATCTATAATACTCAATTCTTCTAAAATCATAGCTGTTAAATGTCTACTTTGTCTAAGTAAGGCATAGTCACCATATTCTCCATTTGAAAAATATCTTACTGAAGTTGGTGAATTAATTGTTGCCATCTTAATGTGGCATATTGGTGCAAAATGACTTTTTCATTGTTTTGTTGAGTGAAACTTGTCCTACTCTGTAATTTCACATTTTCCACATAACTAGATATTTTAAAGGTTCTCATTAATCAAAAAATTGTTCCCTCAGTCAGCAAAATTGTTTTGATAAAGTAGTGCATAGTTTTCGTACTGTTACAGTACAACATTATATACTTTATAGGGAGTAATACAAGTAATCTTATGTTTATCCCTTATAAAAAAATCCTTAATAATACTAAGCTCGCATAATGTTAATAGAAAAAAGATGAACCTATGTATAATATACAAATATTCAAAAAACTTATATGTATATATATTTTTTAGAAATACCATAGCTACAAATCAAATGACTTCAAAATAATTATGAGGTTAAATATAAGGAGTATAAGAACATTATTACTGATTGTGATCATATTGATCTCAGTTAGTGTGCTATCACTATGGTCGAATTGCTCTGGACAAAATCATAGGCTATTTTCAAATAAATTTAAACTAACTTATGATGTATGTTAAAAAAATTATTTTAAATTTGTGAAGACTATGTTAATATATTTTAGACATTTTATTGTAGTTTTTATATTTTTCTTTGATTACCCTTATATCAAGTAATACTAATTGTTTAGTTTTTTTGTGTTATACTTAAAAAACTAACAATATTTTTTTAATTTTTCTGAAAGCCATTTAAACTATTAAAAAAATTAACTTTACTAATGATACTTTTTATTTAAATGGGTTATATTTAATTGATAAATTAAAAAAATAATTATGTTTTTATTTTATAGGCTCAGTTAGTANATTAAAAAAATAATTATGTTTTTATTTTATAGGCTCAGTTAGTATATGACATTAAACCAATAGATTGTTATATTAATGGAAACAACAATATAATAGATTGTCTCTTGAATGGAGATATTGTTTATGTACCATTTTCGTTTTTAAAAAAATACTTTGAGGTTTGTATTATGTAATAAATAAATGATTTATATTTAAATAATGTAGCTGAATCAAATGTAAATATAAGGAAGACTATAAGAACAGAACCCTCTTGTAAAATTGGTGTTATTTCATAAAAAAGCCTTCTTTTTAAAAAATAACTCTCATACTAACAAAAATAATTTTCTCCATAAAGAAAAACTTCTTCTGTATCCACAATTAAGCTTCATCAACATTGTATAAGTTAAAATAATTGAAAAAATCAACTACTTTGGCATATTGTTGTAACATATTAAAAATTGGGCAAACTCTTATTTTGATCTATTCATGATGGAGTTTTACATTTATTCTTGCAAGTATAATTTAACTTCATTTATTGAACTTAAAATTAAAAAAAAATTTCAAGAAGCTATAAAACTAAACACTTTTAACATATTGATTTTTTTTTTTTTATTATTATTATTTTTTATATCTATTTTTGCCTAGGATAGATATATTCATCATTTTATTAAATAAGATATGTTGAAATCTGATTTTGAAAAAAAAAATGGAGTTGCCTTATTTTTCATTCAAAGAGCTTTGATTCTACTAATAGAGCTCCTTATTTTTTTTATTAGTTTGTATAAGTATAATTTTGGTATGAATATTTGAGGTTTGGCAGGGCCAATTGACCTAAGTACTGAAAATTCATATAATTTGAAAAAAAAATTAAACTTTAATATTTTCTTATAAATTTTAAAATAAGTACCCAAATATAAAGCTGCTAATCACTTATAAAAAAGTAAAACCATTGTTATTTATTTATCTATTATGCCTTATTTATACTTCAATACTTTACTTATCTTTCTACAAAAGCAACTGACAGTAAGATAACAATTTGTTTTAATTCAATATTAAGGTAAAATTATTAACTATAAATTATAATTTATATTAGTAGAAAATAATTTAACTTTATTAGATTTATGGAAAATTAGTTGATACGTCTGAAAACAAAAAAGTATTTCATTGGTCACATAGTTATTCAAAAATTTATCATCAAATTGGTAAATATAATCCTCGTGGAGTTTTTACAAATTTTAAAAATTACAAAGTGGAAGAAAGGGATCGGGTAAAATGTATTAGTGCCTCAGAAGGTACAACATTAGTTTTTAATATTGAAATTTAATGTAAACTTGTTTCATTAATTTTATTATATAGGTGTTCCTGTATCAACACAATGGAATCCTCAAGGCTATTATTACCCAACACAAATAGCTCAATTTGGTTTATCTCATTATAGTAAAAATCTAACTTCATTGGAACCTAGAGTTAAAGTATTAGAAGATGGACTGTTAAATTCTAAATGGATTATTCCACATTTGTCTAAGTTACACACTACTTTTAACATCCAAAGAAATAGCAGTGTTTTAAAGTTCACAAGTATTGGTAATGATAATTTTTACTTAATCTATAACTCTAACTTTTTTTTTATATAATTTTTGTATTTTCATTACAAAACAATTTAGAAGAAGAAATAATAATAAAAATTGATAGTGAAGAAGATTTTATCATTAATTTTGATGTGGCATTGTCTGTTTCTACTAGTAGTAGTATTGTTATTACGGTAAAGGATATTAAAGCCTCAGATGAGGTTTGGAATCTTCATTATATATGTTCAAATTCTTTCATATCTGCTAAGGTAGATTTTTTTTAAATTTAATAATTACTCAAATATATTTTAAAAAACAAATTATTGTTATGAAATAATTCTTGCTTTGATAATTTATAATAATTGTAAATAAAATAATAGAATAATACATAATTTAAACAGTAACTATTAAAATAATTGATAACTTCAAGACATAAAATATTAATTGGGTTATTAGACTTTTCTTTTTTTATAAAATTGAGGAGTATAAAATAAATGAATTTACAAGTGTAGTCATTATTTATTTTGAAATTTAATTGATTTAATAAAAATTAATCATCAATCTCGTTATTTAGTAATTTAGTAAGAAAGGTATTGTATGATATAATTCTATGTATTTTTAAAATTTTTAAGTTAAACAATTTTAAGATATTCTCATAACCATTGTGAAGAGTTCTTTGAATATAACAATTATGATATATACATCTGAGGACTTTATCTTGTACTTTTTCAAGTTGATTTTTGNATACATCTGAGGACTTTATCTTGTACTTTTTCAAGTTGATCTTTATGCCTTGCATTGTTTTGATCTCAAATCAATAAAGGATATTCAAATAAGGAACAAATTAGTGAGGTATATAGACATTTTATGGAATGTGAATCATGAAAATCAGCAATTTCTTTTTATCATTCTAAAAATAGCTTAGGCATTTCTTTTTATGACTGATCATGAGTATTGAATAATAGTTTAGAAACGAACAAAATTCCTAAATCATTAATTAAAATGGAATAATGTAATTTAATGTCAGGTATATGATAATTAAATTTGAAGGGATTGTGTTTTTTAGAGTGGCCAATATCCTTGAGTTTATTAATTAACAAAGTGTGATTCACTCTATCAAATGCTTTTTTTAAATCAATACAAATAACATCGTTTTGTTGATTATTAGAAAAAGATTTTTTTATAATTATGATGATTTATTATTAGAAAATCTATGTTATGATACTAAAATATTTTAAATGTAAGGATAAGTTTTTTATTTATTATTTTTAAAAATATTTTTGGTAAGATATAATTTAATGATATGCTACAGTAGTTTAAAACTAATGACATATTTCTTTTTTAAGAATGAGATTAATTTAGGTAGATTTCCAAATCAATGAAAATGAGCCACTACTTAAAAAAGTATTGAAAAAATATGTGATAGGTAGAGAAAGAATAAATCTGCACTTGAATAAAAATATAGGAGAGACACCAACAGATTCAATAGCATTTTTATAAGAGTGTTCTTAGTTCATTGAAAACTTCAAGAAATTCAATATGAAGTGTATTTAGAGATTCAATGATGAAATCTTATTACTAAAAAAATACAATATTTAAGTCTATTTAACAGTCAGAACTTTGACAAAGATATACAAATAGTTTTGTCACATAATTTCATGAAAAAAAAAATAATAATTTATAAAAAGTAAACTAACTTTTTGATTGTTGCTTGTATATAAACTTAAAGAAAATTTATACCAACTAAAGTCTTCTCGAAGAGGCTCAACTAAAATTTATAAATGCATATACAATCAATTACTAATGATAATTTTTTATCTTTTTTCTATTGTCCTATAAATCTTAACCATTAATTTTAGGGTCATAATATATATCATGGAATACGTTGTCATAAAGATTTTATTTGGAAAAATTTATCAAGAAACATTCTAATTGACTTACAAAAAGGTTTTCATATTTTAAAAAAGTCAACTGTAAAAATGATGCGTGTTAAATATAAAGTAAACAACTTTTATTAATATAATTATTCTTAAATATTATTTTATTAAAAAATATATGTTTTGTTTTTTAGTTGTGCGACTTTAAACTTGTAGGTATTGGGTACATAGATAATCTAATTCTAAGTTCAAGTGATCATATAAAACAATTTTATGCTGCTGCACATTGGTTTGTAAAACATCAAGATAAAAAGTCAGGAGGTTGGAGAAATCCAGTTACTCGTAAAATATTTCCATCAATACCTCCTTTAAAACCTGGATGGTAAGATATTTATCAAAATTTTTACAGTGTTGTTAGTTATTAAATTTGACCATCTTATCTTATATAATTTATCTTAAAATTCCAAAGAAATTAGGTTCCTTGTAAATGACTTGTGCGAAAAATAAAAATCAACATAATGAGTTGATATGCTAAACTTTAATTTTATGGATAATCAATACTAAAAATAAAATAATTCATAAAAATAACAATAATCTGAAAATCTTGCACTTATAGAATGTAAATATTAATTCCCTCATTTCATCTTTATAAAATAAATATTTACTTTTAAAGACATGATATACTTACAAACATTTAATATTTATTTTAAACATTTTTATTTGTTTTAATAAATATATTATTTTTTAATTTTCAATTTACTTATGTGATTCCATGTTTTTCTTTCTTTTTTTCAGGATATCAGCTATGGGCCAAGGACAAGCTATATCATTATTAGCTAGAGCTTACTATCATTCTGGAGGAAATGAACTTTACTTAAAGTCTGCTTATTATGCACTTAAACCATTTAAAGTCCAAAGTAAAAATGGAGGTGTATTAGCTAAGTTTATGGATATTTATCCTTGGTACGAAGAATATCCAACAATTCCTCCAATATTCATTTTAAATGGATTTATGTATTCACTTATTGGTTTATATGACCTTTTTATGTTAGCTCCAAATGGTTCTCAGGTAATATATTATAGCTAAAAAACATTTTAAATATGAATAAGATATTAAAATATAATTTATTTAGTTTAATTTTTTTATATGTTACAAATACAAATAGCAAATATTGTAGTGTGATAAAATGAGAACTTTTATATCTATTAAGATTTCTTATGCTATAGATAAGTTTAATGTTTATCTTTGTTAATGGGCGTGCATACATTTTATCTGGCAGAATATCAAATAACTGTACTGTTGCTCTCATGGTGAACACTATATGCACAATATTCTTTATTAAATTATTATACTTACTTTGTTTATTTATATAGATAAAGTTAGTATCAATTTTTCAAGTAGCTCAAAACGAATTTATAAGTGCACTCCAGGCTCTAACAATTAGACTAATTTTTTAATTTATATTGTAGCTTCTATATAGAACATTATTAGAATTTTTTATTTATCATTAATTTTACATTTTAGATAGCACAGGAGTCTTATACATTATGGCATGAAGGAATGTTGTCTTTAAAACATTTGTTACTTATGTTTGATATGGGTTCAAGATCAGCATATGATCTCAGACATTTGACACTTGAAACATCACCAAATATTGCCAGGTGGGATTACCACGCTACACATATTAATCAATTACTTTTATTAGCTACTTTAGATAACGCAACAGTGTTAAAAAGCACAGCTAATAGGTGGATTGATTACATGAATGGTGCTCATGCATCACACAATTGATGTAATGATTTATTTTTTATTATTGATTATTTAACCATATGGCTGTGAAATAAATATCTGAAATAAATTTTAATTACTTAATATTTTGTTAAATTGTTATTTTACTAGCATTATAGATGTATAGAATAAAAAAAATCTATAATTTACTAATCAAAAAATATAACATATTTCATAATTGGATTGTTGGAAATTATTATCTATATAAATTATTTTTTTTATTTATCATAGAATATCAAAACTCGATTTTGACAAATTTGAAATCATATCATCAAATAATTAAATATAATTCGTTTAGTAAATTTTAAAAGTAAACATGGACAATTTTCTTTAAAAATGAATTTAAAAAGCATATTTCAAAATCAATTAATAAAATTTTTAATTATCTCTTATGAAGTATAAGTGAAAATTAATCAAATTGTTAAGATATCTAAATTATTGCGTTATATTTTAAAAAGAAATTATTCTTGATTGTACTTAAAAAAATTTCCTTAGATTTATAATAAATATTATGTGATATAAGTGTATAATATTATCATAAAAGTGTATTTTAGTTACTGATGATAACATACAAATAATTTATATTTATAGTTAAAAAGTAATTTTAATAATTATGTATAATCCAATTATTATGATGTTACCCTAATTTTGGAACTAATTAAAAATCTACTTACAGTGTAGTTTTTAAAAAAATCAAGTTTGTTTTCTTCTTTTATCCTTTAAAATTTTATAAACTTATTCAAAAGTAATTTTATATATTATAAATAGACAATTATAAACAATTTAATTTTTTTGTGAATTTTACAAAATAAAGTATCAGTCATTACTTGATATCTTATTTTTAAAGTGTATTTTGACTGGGATGCACTATTAGAAACATGTTTATGAGGTGAGTTTGAAATTATAATAATATTATTGTGGTTAAAATCACTTAAATATATATTTGAAGCATTAAAATATTTTTAACATATATAACTAATTAAATCAATGACGTATTTAAAAATATTGAGTAGTTCAGATAGCTTTTAGAACGTAGACCTTCTCCATTAGAAGGTCCGGACTTCAAGGATCCCGTTGCTACATTAATAAGTTACTCTTGGGATAGATCCAACTTATAACTTTTGATACAAAAAAAATTAAGCTGTAATTTTTATAAAATCAATTTTGCATTCTTGAAATATACGTTAAAAGCATTTTTTTATTATTTATTTTTAAAATAAAAAAATAATATATTTTTAAAACAGCTGGTTTTAGTTTTTCTTACAAAAAATTTAATAAGAACAACTTTAGGATAAGTACTTATTGAGTTACAATATTTTAATACATAAAATGGTTATATAGTTTGTTTGGGTACAGTTTGAACTGGTGTATATCTAAAAACGCCGTGGTACATAACCTTTTTTTTTTATCATCTATTTGGCAATTTTCTACCAAAAATTACATGTTTTTTTACTTGGTCGATTACTCATAGAAGATAATTCATGGAAACGTTTTTAAATTTTTTTAATTAGACATTACATTAAACAAGCTTAAATTTACAATGATTTTAGATGATTCAACCATTTCATTTCTATCCAAAATATTACAAGATTAATTTTACAAAAAAGTATATGCTTCGTGTTTTTAATGCCCAATAGATCTTAAAAAGTTTTCTATAATTTTTATTTTTTCATGTTTATGTACATTGAATTATTTTTAACTCGTTTCATCGGTGTTTCGCATTCCACTACTACTTCACGTGCGCGTCATCTGCTACGCGGACGACATGCTGGTGGTGGCTGAGACATCTCTGGCAGACTGTGCGCTCAGCGCAGTTACCGCCATGACTCCATGACGTATTTAACTTTCGTCATAGACAAACATCTTGTGTTGGAGCTACACGTACACGTGTGGTCCAGCAATCCCAGAAAGTCATGAACCGATTGGCAAGTCTCCTACCGAAACTGATCAAATGAGAGAGTCGCGGTTCAGATTGCTAGTCAGCGTCGTGCACTCCTGTACCGGTTCCTAGTTTGGGCGGATACTTTCGAGTATTCGCCCAAAAACAGAGAAGTCCTGTTAGGGGTCCTGAGGCGTTTCGGTTTACCAAACGGTAACCGCAAGCGATGGCGACTATTATCCTGTCGTCACTTCCGCATGCCGACTTATCGTCTCACGCAAGTAATGTCACAGCTGATTAAACGAGTCCCAATTAGGCTCCACATTCCAAGTCTGGTCTATGGTAGTCTTGATGTCAGAGAGGCATGGAGTACCTTACAGGCGTTCGCCAAATCGATTATGTACTGTAAAGAATCGACCGAATGTCTTAGACAGTCCGCTACGCCGCACGGTTTAGTAGGGTCTAAAGCACTGGTAAAAACCATCGCTTTAGAATATCGTACACGTGTTTTCAATGTTTTTATAAGATGGTCTTGTGAACCTGAAACTGAAACAGTTCCATGTTGTGCAGACCGGTCAACGGTCCCGATTTTTGATCTCGCTATCGGGGGAGGCTACGCTGTTATGTGTGTTGTAGAGAGACGTGAATCGCCCTGAATTAATGCCTAATGGCAATTTCGGGACGAGCTGCAATAATTAAAGTCATGGGTAAAAAAAAAGGTCCTGGATTATACTGTTATCACATATAAGATAAAACGATAAATAGATTATCTGTAAGATTGCATTTTTTATCATAAGACTGATAACTTTGACCGAGTAATCGCTCTACGCCGAGCAATCACCAAATAGATAAATTGTGGTGCATAACATTTTATTCTTTAGTACAATGTTGATCCTTAACTCTGTTGTTTAAACAAAAAAAAAAGAAATGTAAAGTAAATTGATCAATTATCAATTGATCATTATTACTAATTAATATTTAAAATATTATGAATTATTTTCTATAAAAGCCGATGATAGAATTGTTAAAGACTTATTATTTTTTTCAATAATTTTAATATGTACATTTTACAGTACATACATACNATCTATCGGTTAGAAAAAGCGTTATATTCAATAAAATATTGGTAACCGAAGGGTAACCAATATTTGTTAGTGATAAGAAGTTGGTGGACCACGAATTGGTAGCTTCACACTCGTTTTTCTTAAAATAATAGACAAATTGTGATTTATGACGCACGATAATAAGTCTGTAGAACCATCTTGGTATTTGCATAGTGCAGCAGGAGCATGCAGTGGTGCAATTACTCGTATGCTTGGACAACCTTTTGATGTTATTAAAATTAGATTTCAGGTAAATTAATTTGGTTGTACTCAATAATATCAAAAATGACTAACTTAAAAAGAACTACCTACTTTTAAAATAACTATGATTCAATATTAAAATTCTAGTTATTATATATTAAAATTTTAGTTACAAGTTGAACCTTTATCTAAAAATTCATTTATATCCAAATATAAATCTATTTCTCAGTCTATTTACCTTATAAGTAAAGAAGAAGGATTTAAAGCATTGTGGAAAGGACATTTACCTGGTCAATTATTATCGATTACTTTTGGTTTTACTCAGGTGAATTTAATTGTCATCATATATAATGATAGGAATAGTGAAATAGTAATAAAATAATAATAAATAAGATATTATCATATTTTTTGTTTTTTAATTTTCATTCTCAAAGTTATGTGCGATCTTGAAAAAAAAAACTTACTTCTCATTTTATCAAAAGCTTAAAAATTTTTGTTTAACTTAACTTAAAATTCAACCTTAATTTCATATCTATTTTTTTGAGTATAAAATATATATTATATAATATGTATATATATTTTGAAAAAAAAATACTCCTGTTAGATGAAATGTTTTTGCTATAACTTATGAATATTAAAAATGTTGGTTTTTTTGCTAAAAATTATTTTATTATAGGTTAATATAATATTTTATAGTTTTATTAATTCTAAGTTAATATTTGAATTATTTTCTTACTTAACATAGAAATTATATTTAATAATATTGTTCTTGTTATTTGTTTTTTTATTTTATACAATGTTTTAATGAATGAATAACAATTAAACTTGTTTTCAGTTTGTTGTTTTTCAACAAACTCTTGATTTTTTATCTAAAAGAGATGATGAAATAGTAAAAAGTAAAAACTATGAAATTCATTTTGTTAGTGGTGTCATAGCCTCAACAACAGCAACAGTAGTATCTTATCCATTTGATGTAATGCGGACTCGATTAGTTGCACAAAAGTCCAATCAGGTGAGTAATTATAAAACAGATAATGACAAATTACAATTTTAATGTCATAACTTAAAAATAGTAATACACTAAAGATTGACGTAAGAATCAAATTAAGAAAGTTTTTAATAAAATAAAGAACTATTTTATAACTTTGTATAATTTCTCCATAAAAATATTGTAAAAAAGTATTAAATATCAATTTTATATTAATTTAAATACTATAACTATTTATTCATGATAGTGATTTTAATCACTATCAGATAACATCTATTTTTGATTTCACTATCCTAAAGCCAAATTCCTACGACTGTTGTACTTGCCAAATATTCGTCACTTGTCAGTTTCCCGCCGATTGTCAGTAAATGTAACACAAGTCAAATGAATTAATGACTTGACAAATTTATACTCGTAGTTCACTCATGCAGATCTGTGTACTTGGCCAATATGTGTTTTTAGGGTGACTATCAGTAACATAATTTTTTCTTCCCCAACCATCTATATTTGTACAGTATAGCGGTGGTTTATATAGACCTAATAAGTTAATTTAATTTAATGAATGGGTAAAACTATTTTATAGTATAAATGTCATGTATAATTGAATAAATTCAATTTGTAAATATAATTTAACAGTTAAGGTTGATTATATAATATATTAATTATATACACAATTTTTTTTAAATGCTCTGATTTGATTAATTTCTGCATTAGTAGCATGCTCTAACGATGTAGATTTCAAAAACATATCGATTGTAGTGATATTCAACATTTTTTTTTTGTCATTAGAATCACTCTCTATTTTGAAATAATTCTTTTGGATCACTCTGTATACACAATTTTATTAAAATGCTCTGATTTGATTAATTTCTGCATTATAATATATTAATTATATAACTTATTAATTTATGAATATTAAGTATAAGGTATATATTATTGGATAGTTTAATATTTTTCTAAAATGTTTGTATTTGTAAAATTCTGCTTTGTTTTTGCAAGTAAAAAATTATATACCGTGTTATAATATGGTGCGTAGCTGAAACGCTATTAGTTTTACTCTGTCGTGCTCTTTCTTTAATTTTTAGGGAAACTAGCCTCCTCAAATTTGCTCAAATTGCTATTGTTGTTGGGTACTAAAAACAAGATTAATACAATTTAGTACTGAAAAATATTTTACAGTAGTAGCATGTTCTATTTTATAAAGCTATATTAGAACTACAAGTGTAAAAACAGTTTTATTTAAAGCTTCGATGATTATAATTAAATGAAAATGAATTAATCGAGCAATTTTAAACTAAAATATCAAAACTAAAAAACTAGTAATACTAAAAAATGTATTTAAAATCACTCACTAAAACTACCAAACACTGCAGCACTCAAAAAGCAAATGATACATGACTTATTATGTCAATTAATATTTTCAGATCCCACCCCCTATATAATTATTTGGTATTTGATCCAGTCATAAGAATAGTATACTTGGTTTTTGTTCATTACTTGTACGGGTGTACAAGCACTGATATACTTAACAAGTATATCAGTTGCGGGAACCCGACTTAAGACTCTATTATGCTGGTTTATTTTTTATAAATAATGAGTTCTGTTATTTATTAAATTTAATTGAATTCACTAAACAAATAATTTTGAAATAATTAATTTGAAACATATTTGAAGACCTTTTTTTTTTTTTAATTTGTTATGAGTTTAACCTAAGTTACTTAAATAAATTAAAAATTCATGTTAAAAAAAAAAATTAATTTTCATCATTGTATGCTATGTTTATAATAACTTCACTATAAATAAAGTATTTAACAAGAATGTTAATAATGTTTTCAGATGTATATTAATATGAGACATGTGTTTACATCAATATACAAAACTGGTGTATTTCAATTCTATAGAGGTCTTTTTCCTTCATTGATACTAAATTCAATGCAAGGTGGTTTCATTTTTTCATTATACAATGGAATCTCAAATTTATTAGTTACCAATACTAGCATTAATAAAAGTAATTCTGAATAAATAATCTAATTTAAATGTAATATTAAGATGTTTTGTATTAAACTTTTAGGTAATAGTAATGAAAATTTAAATGGTCTAAAACAATTCATGTCTGGATTTTTTTCTGGAATTCTATCTAAAACTTGTGTATATCCTTTTGATATTTTAAAAAAACGATTACAGTTACAAGATTTTGTTGAACACCGTAGTAATTTTGGTGAAGTAAGTTTATAAAATTAATTAAGAATATATTATATATAAATTTAATAACTTAAATTTTAACTTATACATTTGAATCTTAAAATAGAATTTTGTAAAAGTTTTCTAAAGTTTGTTAATTTATGGAAATAATTGAGAAAACTTAAGAAGTGCTGTCTAATATAACATGCAATTTAAAATCAATGTGTTTGATAATTCTAGGTTGCACATGATAAAGGAAATAAGTTAGTTTATCCCCAAAATGAGTTATCTCTAAATTATAATAGACATTTCAATTTTCTCTAGTTGAGTCCAAGGGAAATATGTCTACCATGATTATATAAGAGGGGTAGTGGGTTCTGTCGAAATTTAATTGAAGTTTATTACTCAAGTTTATGAAACAAAATAATGTAACAAATTGTAATATATTCAACATAAAGAAAATATATTTAATTGTTATTAATAAAATGTTAACTTTTAAAAATTACATTAATTAATGTAATATTCTTATATATACTGGAATAAAACGAAACAACATTTTATATTTTATTATACTTATATTAGATTGCGTAACATTGAACAGAGTTAAATAATCTAAAAAATGACATGACTTATATAAAGAAGTAACGTGTTGCACACTTTGACATCAAAAAGAATCTGACTATTATCTTTGTGATAACAGATATCACACTTAAGTAGCATCCTTCATTTTATATGAAGGTCCCAACAGGTGGCTATGAATTTTTCATATTGTCCATAACTCTCTGTAGGATATGCACCTTGATGGCTGTAATTTCTTGTTTAATGTTTTCTTTTAACTCTAATAGAGTATGTGGTATATTAGTGAACACTTTCAGATTTCAAAAAACCCCAAAAAAGAAATCAATAGAATATGGTGGCCAGGCAATATTACCATTGCGCAAAATTGTAAGATTTGGAAACATTCTTTAAAGAATAGTTATTGAATGAAATACTCTCTATATGGCTGGTAGTACAATCTTCTTGGAACCATAGTTTGTGATCTTGTACTCTTAATTGCTGTAATCCAGCTGTAAAGAAATTGTTCAACATTTTCACATAATGTACAGCTGTTACAATCACAGTCATATTGTTTTCTTCCAAAAAGTATAGACCCAAATAACCAGACATACACCACACCATACAGTCACAAATAATAGTTTTGTTTGTTAATCACACCACATAAATGAAAATATTCTTCATTTGACATAATCAAATTAGACAAAATTGCATGATTTTCATCTAATAATTGCTGAAACATTTTACAAAATTCAACTCTTGTACCAAAATCATTTGCAAGGAGTTGTTACACTATCTGAACTTAATATGTAATTAGTTTACAATCACTGTGTAAAATTTTTCAAAGAGTTCTGTTAGATAAGTTCGAGGGCACAACACCCTCTGTTCTCCAAGCAGAGGTGATGGTGATACTGATAGGGTCTCAGAACTTGCTGGTATACAAGAAAAGAAAGATAACTATCTTAAGTGATAGTCAAGCTGTTCTGAAAGCACTCTGTAACGACCAGGTGAATTCAAAGCTAGTCCTCAAATGTAGGGAAACTTTAGAATCACTATCGAGGTTCAACAAAGTTACACTAGCGTGGGTACCAGGATACAACGGTGTCACTGAAAATAAAAAACCTGACTTTCTATCTAGGAAAGGAGCAGAGAACATCTATGTTAGATTAGAACTAGTTGTAGGACTCACTGAGCAATCGCTCAAAGTGCTACCCAAGAATTGGTGCAGAGAACAACACACGAAAATCTGGAAGTACTTGGTAGTACCTAAACCAGGAGTCGGCAATTAATTTTTAAGGAGGTCCCGGAAATTTGAAAAAACAAGTCGAGGTCCAGAACATCAAGTCTAAAATATTAGTTAATAAATGTATTAATTTTTGTATTTAAAACACACTTACAATACAAACACAAACATACAATTTTATGTTTAATGAGCGAAATGGCATACTTTGTCCTGGGCTAGTTTTTTAAAATTTGGGGTTCTTAGAGAAAAACTAATACGGAGGGCGTTTTCAAGGTGTTTAACGGTTAGCCTCGATCGATATTTGTTCTTAAGAAATGATATTTTGGAAAAGGAAGATTCGCATATATATGTTGAGCCAAACATAGTAATTAATCTTATTGCCAGTTTTTTGCAATTCGTATACTTCACATCCAACACATGTTTTGCCCAAAAATCTTCAGTAGATTTAGTTTTGTATATTTTTAATGAAATATCTTCTTGCAAGTTGATAATTTCCATTTGAAGAGAAGATTTTGGAAGTCTGAACAACTTCGTTGCTACGTCAGTCCATTCTTCCGTTGGAGAAACTCCGTAAGGGTTTTTTTAAAAATTGCGACAGTTTTTCAATCTCTGTAAAATTGTTGAATCTATTACTAAATTCTTTACCAAGATCTGTCAAAAAACTTAAAAACACTTTGCAGTCTATGTCGGAATTTGTTTTATATTCAAGTATTATTGGAAAATGAATAAATTCTTGATTTTTAATATCTTGTTCAAATAACTTTAGCTTTCGGCGAAAAGCATATACACTTAATATCAGATCGCATATTAACTTTTTATTCCCTTGTAACTCAGTATTAAGTGCATTTAAATATTCAAGAATGTCTTTTAAAAAAGCCACAGCATATTGCACTCGTTTGTTAAGAATTTTTTATACTTCCTTGCTTCTTCCATATCCAAGTTTACCAAGAACGCTATTACTTCTCCTTTTACATTCCAAAAACGTTCGATCACTTTACCTTTATTTAACCAACGAACATTGTTGTATTGAAGTAAATCCGAATACGACGAATCACATTCAGATAAAAACTGTTTAAATTGCCTGTGCTGAAGAGAGGATCGAGACCGCATAAAATTAATTAACTTAATCAAAAGCCGCCCATTACGCCCTTCAGTGTTGTACTGAGTTTGCCACACAAGAATGTCTGATGAGTTATGCATTGATATAAAAGTATTTCAGCATTCTTATCCTTAATTCTCTTAACAAACCCCTTTACTTTGCCAATATCACAGGAGCACCATCGATTGAAATAGACACGATTTTATCATAACTTATATTTGATTTAATCATAAAGTCGTCAAAAGTTTTGAACAAATCTTTTTCACGAGTCTTGCCTTTAAATGACAGTAATGTCAGCAACTCCTCTCTAAATACTCTACTTTCAACGTCAAAAAACCGCATAAAAATTGACATCTGCTCAGAATCAACAATATCACAGGATTCATCAAGTGCAATTGCGTAGCATGATGCCTTCTGTAAAATGTCCTTACTGGCAATGTGTAACAATATTGTTCAGTCCACTCAGCTTGGAACTTTCTGTTTTCATTATCAACTTTACGTATTTTGGAAAACATATTAAGCACAATAAAAACATATATAAAATTAATAATTCGTTAAAAAATAACATAACGGACGCGATGACGATTGCACACGAATTACAGGTATGTAAGTAATATTACATTTAAACACGACGGACGCGTTGCGATGAAAATTTCAAATGTTATATTGATGTGTTATTAGGGCTGAGGTTTATTACTATAAACGGCGATAACAATGAATGCTATCGTAATCACCTGATAGAACACAAAAATAGATAAAAAATTTTATTAGGTGCGTATTGTTTAACAAGTTATTCTGGGTTTACACAGACAGTATTTTATTTTTCACAAATATTGAAAAAAAACAGTATTAAAGTAAAATATTTTTGGCGGTCCAATTATTTCCCCTCCGCGGGCCGCCTATTGCCGACCGCTGACCTAGACAATCTAAAATGTTTATCAAGACCTCCGGTCTACTGCTGGGTGATCTTAATAGTATGACTAGACATTAAATAAGCAATTTGATTGGTCTACTAACAGGACATGGTCACTTGTTTAAACATCTTTACGCAGTGGGGGTATCGGAATCACCATTGTGCTGGAAGTATGGAGTAGAAGAGGAAGACTCTTTTCACATAATGTGCGAATGTGAAGCCTTGTCCACACTAAGATTAAACTACTTGAGTAAACCTTTTCCTGAAAAAGACGATATTAAAAACCTAAGACCAAGAGAGATACTTAATTTTGTCAGAAAGACAGGACTCTTTGGTCATCTACAGGGGGTCACTTGGTCCTTATACAATTATAGGTTTAATGTAATAACACTTCGGTGATAACCTAGGTATGTAAACCGAATGAAGACAAAATTTATGATACCATTCTAAGACTGAATTCTGTAAAGAAATAGGACTACCAACAGGAATATTGAATTGGCGTCGAAAATTGTGTTGTTTGGTTTCAATAAGTTTACAATTAATAAATGTCATTATGGCAAAAACGCGATGATTAAGAAGCAACGTGTCCATGATTACTGAAAGTAATACTAAACATCATGAATTTTTATCTGGCAACAAACTAATTTATCTTATCTAGTTTACTTCCAAACCATAGCACTATTTAAATCGTCAAAACCTACTGACCCCCGTGTGTATTGTATTATACATTATTACAAATGCTCTCAAAAATTAATTTTATTAGGAATTAAGAAGAGGTCTTATTTGATATAAGTTTTACATTATTATAACAAATGATTTTATAATAGTGATAAAAATCACTGTAAATCTAATAATTATAATAGTGACTACCTAATACCTAAGATTTCTAATTTAAAATATATACATTTATTGATTATCAATAGATAGAAAATCAAAGGACACACTTATAAATCTAGTACGAATATTAATTATTTCCACAAATAATAAGGTATTATGTTCAAAATCTAATAACTAAACATTGCAAATAAGTGTTTTTTGAAAAAGAGTAAAATCCCTTTAGTACAATTGATTTAAATAATTTACATTTCTAAATATAATTATGAAAATATATATATATATATATCAGGTATATTTATAATATATTAACTTATTTTAATATGATTTTTTCTAGAAATTTATATGCAGAGGGATGTTAGACTGTTTTAGAATGACTATTAAAAAAGAAACTTTTTTTGGTTTGTTTAAAGGCTTATCTCCATCACTTTTAAAAGCTGGATTTGTAACAGCAATACATTTTACTATTTATGAACAAAGTTTACACTTATTTAAATTACTAATTAGTGTTTCATAAAATATAAATGGTTATGAAACGATTTTATGTAAGATTTATTATGTTGTTCTATATTATTAGTACACTTAAACTATATTTAAGTTGGTGATTTTTATAATATATTAGATTATAACACTACTAAACGGTCATATTTTTGTTCTTCAACAATAATTCAATATATATTTAAATACTGATTATTATTAATTTTTTTTATTAATATGTAAAAGTTTTTATGTAAGGTTAATAAATAAGCCATTTCTTTTTTTTTTTTGTTATTTATTGATAAATACTAAGAAATGTTTGTTAATATATATATATATATATTGACCATCGGTTTAAAACAGTTAACACTGATACTATACATCTATTATAGAATAATAATATGATATAAGTATATTATATTATATTATTATTATATAAAATTTAAAAAAAAAGTAGTCCCGGAAAAAAATTATAGCTCTTAGGTAATTGTTTATTATTTTTTTTAAACTAGTAGTTTTAAATTTCCAAATGATTACACAACATGTAATACTTTCGATTAAATTTAGGTGCTGTTCCCAAACAATCGTACAAATTATTTATCTTTAAGCAATCAGTTTTACTCAACATTTTCCTCTGACCTATTGTTTTTCCAGGTATTTTCGGTTCCATAGTAGGTTTGCCTTTACCAACACTATAAATGTATAATTGAATTTAGTTCATTAGTTATAATACTAGAATATACAACAAGATATGAAAACTTTTAAAGTTAATATTGCACCTGAAAAAATTTTTGCCATAGTGCATAACACTATCGTAATCATACTCAAATTCATAAGTTGTATTCTTAAGACTCTGTTTGTCAAAGTTTGATCGATATCCTGAAATAAATTATGTGCATAAAAATATGACTTCAATTACTGTATATAAATATACATACGAGGTAATATATTTTCAAAATTGATTTTTACGAATTTGTCTCTATCAGCTCTTGATTGTTCATGGAAAATACCCAATGCATGCATTAATTCATGGATTGGTCTACCGTCAGTACCTAAACAGTTAGGTCCAGTTTCATCAGGAGGTTGTAATGAAACAATTTGAGGACCACCATATCTGCCGACATAAGACCAGCATCTAAAAGAGAATTTAAAAAAACTTCTCTGATAGAAGGTTTATTACGTTTTAAACGTGTTTATAACAACAAAAATGTCTTATTTATTTTATTTTATAGAACTTTTTAATAGTTTAAATAGTTTAAAAACTATTTATTTATATTTTTTTAATAATGCATTTTTAAAAATCTTTTAAAATATACTATTATTGACACATTCATTTTTTTCACAAGAACTAATGTTATTCAAATTATTGGATTATTATTATTATTAAATTATTATATTTATTGGTACCCTTTGAAAAATTGATTATAGTACCTTTCACAGTTTAGTAAAAATTAAAATTCCGGCAAAAGTATAAAGTGAATAGTCTATTTATAAGGATAAATAAATTAGTTTCAAAAATTTTTGATAAAATAGTTAAAAACATACCAATAACTGAACCCCTGTCAATAACTAATTATACATAAAAGTTAACAGATATTAAAATATATTGTGGCATATTTAGAAATTTATAATGGGGGCACAAAACATTTTTATGGATAAGGTACTATAACATAGAAAATAAGGTACCATAAAACAACTTTTTTTTTGCGCATAACTTTTATTAACACAAAAAAAATTTTTTTTTTAACAAAACAAATTAATAACGCAAATTAAAATAGATAAAAAAATTAAAAAATAGCCATAAACATGCATAATATCAACATGATTAAATATACAATTTGAAAACATTGTATAGGAAGTGAAATTTTTTTTTTATATATACAAATTTATAAATCAATGTTTTATGTAAATTATTATAGATTATAATTTATAATAATTGAAGTCTTCTTGTATTCTTTAGCATACTATTCGAGAACTTCTTCTGCGTCTATAGAAATTCTGGGTTAATACTTAATAATGCTAGTCCATTTAAATGCTATTCGCTCATAACTAATCTCAAACAAGTTTTTATCCTTTCAAGCGAATGAAATGATCTTTCTGAAAGACGAGTGGTCACAGGAGTTATAGCGAATAATATAAAAATAGATTTAGATTTATAGATAAAGATAATGTTTCCATCGCATTTGATGGTATGATAATCAAAAAATAACTTTCTAATGGTATTAATCACGAACTTATCATACACTATTACATTGCTAAATAAAATATTTACATGGCTCAGTCAATGGGAAGCACGTGCCCCTGTGCCCCCTCTAAATATGCCATTATATATATAAGATAGTAATACAATTTAAAAAATTCATTGTTTGTGATTATTGGACATAACATATAGTAAATAAAATTTCTTACCCTGCTGGGTATTTGACTGGCCAAATTAACAAATAATCCTTTAGTTTTCCATTCCAAGGTACAAATTTAATGCATGTAAAAAAGTTTAGCGTTCTGATGGCTTTATAAATGAGGAGACGATGTTCAGTTTCTAATATTCAATTAATAGAACAATTATTTTTAGAATAGAAAAATTAATGATATAATTCATTATTTTATACATACCGTATAAAGGACTTATCAAGTAAGGTACTGTTCGATTTAACCAAAGTTTTTCTGGAAATATATCCCATCGCAATCCAACCCGCCAATAATCGAAAATCTAGGTATTACGATTTTTGTTTAAAAATTTAGATCTATTTTTTTATAAAAAAAAACTATACATTTATTAATAAAATTTTATTATATGTCAATATTTTTAATGGGAAATATTTGGGTGGATGAATGCATCATATGACGCTGTAATAATTCATATTAACAGGTCTAACTATATATAGATGACTATGAGGTGTGTTCAGAAAATGACGGCAAATTGTTGATTTCGCGGATTTGGAGGATAACTCCGTGCGATGGTCACACATCCTCGGAGCACTGGACGCATTTCGGGTGCCTCCGTACCTCATACTTTAACAATCGGGTCATCTCTTACGAGAGCGCCGCGGTTCCGAGAATCAGACTCGTAAGGGTCGGTTCTCGGGCCTCTGCTGTGGAACATCGCTTAAGACGCGGTGTTCCGCTACCACCATATGTGCGCGTCGTCTGCTATGCGGACGACACACTGGTGATGGCGGAAGGCGCCTCGTACGAGGAGGCTGGATCTCGTGCGAACTGCGTGTTCAGTGCAGTCACCGCCTGGATCCAGAAGGAGGGGAGTGGACTGATCCTCGCACTGGACAAGACCGAAGCGGTCTTATTTACGGGTAGTTAAAAGTTCACTCCTCCATGGCTCGCCGTGCTGGGGATGAGATCCCGCTTAAGGACTCCATAACCTATCTGGGCCTGGTCGTAGACAAACGTTTAAAGTTCGGGCCGCACATTACTCGTATATGAATAGACTAGTGGCACTCATGCCCAATCTGGGTGCCCCGAGGGAGATGCGCCGTAGACTCTTAATCAGCGTCATACACTCGGTCCTCCTGTACAGGTCCCCGGTTTGGGCGGATATCCTTGAGTATTCGTCAAAAAACCGTGAAGATCTGCGACGCTGGTTTAGGCCGGTGCCTTAGGTTCTTGTTTTTGTGTTTTGTATCGTGAGTTATTTTGCCAACCCTCCCTAAAGGTTCCCACTCTGGAACCGGTTAACAGGAGGGGGCCACACTACGTTGCGAATCAACTCTTGATTAATTTCGAGATGATTCACAATGTGGTGGCATGAATTATATAGACGGCTTGGGCCGCCCTGAAGTAATGTCTAACGGCAGTTCCAGGGCAGCCCACAGTAATGCCGACCGTAAAAAAGGTTTGGAGGGTACAATTATCAAAAAAAAATGTTCATAATGTTGGTCCCTATGAAGTATGATCAAATTTTCAGCTGGATTCATTTTTTACTTTGTCAGTGGCAACCGCTAAGATTAAACGTGTTTTTATGACCTCGGCAATTTTCACTTGTTAAAAAAAAATTAGTCAAAAGATTTATATTAAATTTTGCCTAAAAAAATGAAATAAAATGTAATAAAGTATGTGAAATGTTAACAAAGGCCTGTGGTGTGTCTGTCATGAGTAAAACAAGAGTTTACGAGTGGTATAAACGTTTCCAAAATGGCCGTGAAGACGTTGAAGATGACGAAAGCCCCGGATGCCCCAACACATCAACAACCGATGAAAACGTGAAAAAAGTGAAAGAAATGGTTATGAACGATCGCCAAATTACAATCAGAGAAACCGCTGATGATATTGAAATATCAATTGGCTCGTGGCATGACATTTTTTTTTTTTTGAATGTATTGGGTATGAATCGTGTAGCAGCAACATTTATTTAAAAATTGTTGAATTTTAAACAAAAATAGCGGCGAATAGAAGTTGCTCAGGACTATTGAGCAACTTAATGAAGTCAACGACGATGCAGAATTACTGAAACGTATTATATCAGGTGACGAAACATCAGTTTATGGACACGACGTTGAAACTTAGGCTCAATCATCCAAGTGGAGGCATTCTGGATCGCCAAGACCGAAAAGGCTCGACCAGGGCGATGGAACGTGGAAAACAATTTATAGCGCTTGCACCACGATAATGCATCTACACTTCATTGCTTGTTGGTGAAATTTTTAGCAAAAACAGTACTGTAATGATGCCCCAACCTCTATATTAGCGAGGCATAGCTTAGTGTGACTTTGTTCTATTTCCAAAAATAGAGAGAACCTTAAAGGACCGTAATTTTACAAGCATAGATAACATTAAAAGCGCATCACCGAAGGAGCTGAAGGCTATCCCAAAGATCAAGTTTGAGAAGTATTTTTAGGATTGAAAGAAGCATTGGCACAAGTGCATAATATAAAAAGACTTTTGACGGCGACTACATTAATGTAGATGAATAAATAAATATTTTTTTCAAATACCGAAAATGCCAGTTATTTTCTAGACACACCTTGTATAAACATGTCTATGTAAAGATACAAAAATGCTCCTTCAAAAAAGTTTGATTTTTGTCAACTTACAACATTGTTGTTTTTAGCAAAAATATAAACGTATTTATAAAATAGATGAAAAATACCTCATTATTTAAAGCCATATCTCCTTGAAACAAGCCTGGTTTTACTTCAGGGTCAAAATCCTCTGCTGATTCAAAAGCTTCCAAATCGTCAGTGCTGATTTCAGCTAGAAAAACATTGTTTAAAAATATTTTACTAAAGAGAATTCGTGTAAAGATGAAATATTTTATCAAATATATTCCTACATTTAACCTAATTTTAATATTTGAATTATTCAATCACAATATATATAGTGTTTAACACTGATTGTAGAAACCTATGAGCATTGGACAAGCCAAAAAAAAATTTTTTAGCTATAATTTTATAAAATTGTTGAAATAAAAAATGATGAGCAAAAAAATAAAACTCACCCATCCCTTAGATTTAACACTGTACGAGGTGTGTTCAAAAAGTAAGGTGACTTGATATTTTTATGAAAAACTATTTATTTATTCATCAATGTTTATGTTGTCCCCTTCAAAGTAATCCCCCTCAGATGTAATACACTTGTGCTAACGCTTTTTCCAATCTTCGAAACACTTCTGATAAGCACTTTTTGGTATAGCCTTGAGCTCTTTCAGCGATGCAGTTTTTATCTCCCCAATCGTTGCAAATCTTCGTCCTTTCATAGGGTTTTTCAGTTTTGGGAACAGAAAAAAGTCGCATGGGGCTAAATCCGGTGAATATGGTGGCTGAGGCATGATTGTGGTGTTGTTTTTGGCCAAAAAATCTCTCACAAGCAACTATGAGTGAGCAGGTGCATTATCATGATGCAAAAGCCATGAATTGTTTTTCCATAATTCCGGACGTTTTCTTCGTATCGCTTCTCGCAAATGACGCATAACTTCAAGATAATACTCCTTATTGACCGTACGACCTTGTGGTAAGAACTCCTGATGCACTACGCCACGACAATCGAAGAAAACGGTGAGCAAAACCTTGACATTTGATCGAACTTGGCGTGCTTTTTTCGGTCTTGGCTCTCCTGAGCTCTTCCATTGAGACGATTGAACTTTGGTTTCGATGTCATAACCATATACCCATGATTCGTCATCAGTTATGACCCTTTTGAGCAAATCAGGATCATCATTGACGTCAATTAACAGCTCCAGAGCGATGCTCATGCGACGATTCTTCTGGTCAAAATTAAGCAGTTTCGGAACAATCTTCGCTGACACACGTCTTATGCCCAAAATATCCGAAAAAACTTCATGGCACGAGCCAACCGATATGCCAACATCCTCAGCAACTTCTCTGATAGTGATTCGTCGATTTTCCAAAACAATTTTCTTCACTGCTTCAACGTTTTCATCTGTTGTTGACGTGCTGGGACGTCCAGAGCGAGGTTCGTCATTGGCATCTTCTCGGCCATCTTGGAAAAGCTTGTACCACTTATAAACGTTATTTTTACTCAGAGCGGACTCACCGTATGTTACTGTCAACATTTCAAGTCTATTAGAACACTTAATTCCATTTTTGACACAAAATTTCGAGTACGAGTGTACCAACATGACATAAAAAAAAATCTAAGATCGAACGGACGTAGCCCGCGAAATTTGAAAAGTCACCTTACTTTTTGAACACACCTTATATATATATATATATATATATTAAGATGACACAAATTAATTAATATAGATGATTACTTTTAACGCTAGCCACTCGATTTCTCTTAAAATAAAAATTTTTTAAAACAGTATTTTTTGAATTTTGTAAGTTATACATGTATCTCTATTTATGTCTGTTGAAGAATACCTTTTAGGTCCATTCCTTATATCTTATAGGAGTGTCAATTTTATTTTAGTTTCAATGCGAAGCTGAGAAGGTATTAATTTTACTATGATTTGTTCATTTATCTTTTTTAGTCACCAATTTTTCTCGTTTCTCATTGGATCGATTTTTTCTCAACGATACGCTAAAATATTACAATCGTATCTAACTGAAGACATAATCTTCAAAAATTAAAAAATTTTCCCTCATTTCCCGTAAATAGTAGAAACCCCCCAAAAAGTTACGATTTTTAAAATGGATAATTTTTAACTTTTTTTTCTTAAAACTGTCATAACTTTTTGAAAAATGAACGAATCAAAATAATTTTTTCGTATAAATATTTTAGGTATTTGATATAAATTTTATTTTTACAATTTATACATTTATTTTACTTATTTATATTATAAATTAATATTAAATCTGTTACAAAAACACAGTTATGATTATTTCAGTTTGCACCATGAGAATTAGAATAAATTAGTTTTTTGAGACAAAATTGTATTACTTTTAACATTTTTGATAATAAATTATGATGTATTGCATATAAAATTCAACCAAGTATGATAATAATTAATTATAATTATCTTACACTGAATTTTTTTATAAAGCACTTAAATTTATGAAAACTATGTTTTATTACTTATATAGGCAAAACTAGACCTTTGTGTTAAATAAGGCCAAAAAAAATAGATCAAGTTTTCAATGACTTGATTTATTGTCGTGTTCTAATGGAACTAGGAGAATTTAGTCTACTAGCTAATGAAAAATATTAAAAAAAAAAATTAAATTAGCTCTCCTAAAATATTTAATACATAGTTATTTCACCATTCAAAAACCAAAAAGTTCTATTATACATACAATGTCCATAAGAGATATAACTTTTAAGTTTTCGTTCAAATATCTATTATTAAAAATTTAAAATAACCAATGAAATTATAGCGCACTATAAGATGTATTATCCATAAGTGGTGGTTACAATAATCTCATTCACATTGATAAAATTTGTAACTATTAACAATTGTGTTTCAAATCGGTAAGAAATTCTACACGTTATCTCTTATTGTTCAGAATTTTGTTTCTTCTTATTTTTATTTTTGCTCATATAAAATTTTTAAATTATGATGTTTCAGTTTAACAATTTTGTAACATTAATCCAGTAGAATTCTGACTGATCAAATTTTACGTTTATTACCCGGAAATGGCAATATATTAAGCCAGGTCATTGCCTAGTCGACCCGAGTATTACTTGATACTGCTATTAAAGTATAAGACCATTGTGAAGTGGCATAAAACAAGTGCATAAAAAAGACGAGAGCAAAATTTAAACGTTGATACCTTTTTTTTGTTCGTTAATTACTAATAATATAATATAATGATAAATTGAGTAAAAAAAAAGTTCTTAATAAACTAAGATTGCTGGCCGATTGAAATAATAATTAAAAATTATAATTGTATTATTATTCAAAGAAGCAGCCGAATAATTGGTGTGAGCCTAGTTAGTCATAAAACATTCGCTAGTTTGAATAACATAGTTGTTAAAAGTACAATTGTAAATTTAATTTATTCATTATGCTTACGTTTTCCTTAATATTTCAGGAGGTTATAGGCTAAAACTGAGCAAAACTTTCCCAAGTTAAAAACATTTATCTAAATAATACGACGTATTATATGACATTTTTTAAATATATAAAATGTAAAAGTTAAAAAGTTTAGTCCTTACAAAATAAGGACAAAAATAACTGTAAAATAAAATGAATGTATTAAACATTTTATAAAAAAACGCTTCGATGCAAATCTGTAGATAGTGTTTAATTTAAAAAAATTGATGGATAATTACAAAAGCAACATCCAACTTCTATTTCCTTAATTATACCCAGATTAGTAATTCTTTTAATTATATATTATATAATTTTTTTAATTAATTGTTTTCAAATTATTATTGATTTTGATTTCTAATATGTTAAAAGTAATAATTTTGAACCTACTTTTTATTGTCCTTTAAAGTGAAAGTTTTATTAAAAAAAAAAAAGAATTTATTACCATAACAAGTAGCTCAATTTGCAAGTTTGAAATTGACATTATTAAATAGATAAAAATGAAATTGTTAAGATTAATATGCTGTCAGCAAATTTTATAATTACTATTTACAGTATATTTATCAGAAAAGTTAGATTTTTTTACATTTTTATAGTAATAGATCACTTAAATAAACATCATATTAATAATTTCTAATTAACTTTTGGCGTTTAAAAATATTCTACAATGGAAATATTCAGAATTTAATTAATATTAATGATTATATAGCATATTTTTTAATACGGTAGCCATTTGCACATAGAATATAGGTCGTCGGGACAAATATTTTTTTCATTTTATAGTACATAACATAAGCTTTAATTTGATATATGTTTAAAGGACGCAGTATTTCCGGAACATTTTCAAAAATTAAGTTGAAAAAGTTAGTTTTTGTAAAAAAGTTACTATTTTGAATCCCCTCCTATGAGCAAAATAAGTGTTAGATTTTCAAAAAAATGATAAAAAATGAATGGAAATTACATAAGGTTTCAATATAAAAAAATATTATTTCGATTTGTTAATATTTGAAAAAGTTATGACAGTTTTAAGTACAAAAAACATCCCGATAGAAGATGATTTTTATCGCAAACATTACATTTTTTTTAAAATGTCGACAGCCATTTGCACATAGAAGATAAGGTGTCGGGAAAAATTTTTTTTTTTCATTTTATAGTATATAACATAACNTACATAAGGTTTCAATATAAAAAAATATTATTTCGATTTGTTAATATTTGAAAAAGTTATGACAGTTTTAAGTACAAAAAACATCCCGATAGAAGATGATTTTTATCGCAAACATTACATTTTTTTTAAAATGTCGACAGCCATTTGCACATAGAAGATAAGGTGTTGGGATNAAGTTTTGAACGCCCTCTATATATGGGGAAATTGTCCAATTTTAATAAAAAGTATGTCAAATGAAAGATGTACTTATAATGTAATTAGAAAAAACAATTTGTGCTGATAATTACATTTTTCGAAAAGTTATAGCACTTTTAAGTTGAAAATTAAAAATTGAAAATCGAAAATTTTAACACAAAAATAGCGTTTTTTTAACTACGGCAGCCGTTTACATGCAGAAGATAAAGTGTTGGGATAAATTTTTTTTTTTTCATTTTATAGTACATAAAATAAGCTTTAATTTGATATATATTTAAAGAACGCAGTATTTCCGGAACATTTTCAAAAATTAAGTTGAAAAAGTAAGTTTTTGTAAAAAAGTTGCTATTTTAAATCCCCCCCCAATGAGCAGGTTAAGTGTTAGATTTTCAAAAAAGTGATATCAAATGAAAAGAAAATATCTAAGGTTTTAGTATAAAAAAAAATTATGTTGATTTGGTTATTTTTAAAAAAGTTATAGCAATTTTAAGTAAAAAAAATTGAAAAAATTTTGAAAATTAGCGATTTTTAAATTTGTAATTTTTTTTGAGGTTTCCCCCTTTTACGGGGAACGTGGGAAATTTTTTCAATTTTGGAGGGTAAATGTCTTCGACTAGATACAATTTGTGATCTTTTGACGTATCATTGAAAGAAATGGTTTCGGTGAGAGTTGAGAAAAAGTGATAACAGACATAAAAAAAAAACACATTATGGTAAAACATCGAAGCTAAAAAAACACATCATAGTAAAATTAATACCTTCTCAGCTTCGCATCGAAGCTAAAAAATGATTAAACGCTTTAAACATTTTGAATGAAAGTTCAAAATTTAAATTAAACATTATTTACAATTGTCTGTTGATAAAAAAGTATTAATTATTTCAAATCTTCAATGCAATTGCTAGATAGGCGCAAAACAATATTTTTAAGCAAGAAAGACAATTTTCTTTTTGTTTACTATTACCAGATTTTGATGCTCTTTTCAAATATTATAAACCTTAATAAATGACAGAGGTTAAGCTGTATACAAAAAATAATAGACCTAAAGGTTTTCTTTTTTTTTTAATTATTTAAGTCGATTCTGTTTGCTTATTTAAATAATAATAATAATAACTAGGGTTTTAATAAATAAACCTTTTCTCGAATAAACGGTAATTCCCTGAAGTACTTACTTTCTGAAGGAATTGGCGGATGCACGATGTCTGGAACATTGGGTAACTTAAAATGTATATTTCTGCAAATACCTGCCTGAATCACTGCAAGTGCCGTCAAAACGATAAAGGCCAATTGCCTGAAATTGCTCGTGTTAAACATCAATGTGTCTGCTGTTACTTGATTATGGCAATTACGCTATCAAAGGTCCATTCACAGTCTTAGGATGATGTACTCTCAGCATTATAACAGCTCACTTAGACTCATCATAAATTTACTACTGTCGCGCAGTAATAATAAAACGATAAAAAAAAGTTATTAATCGATCTCGTTAAAGAACGGGTTAAAAAAATACAAGACTAATACTCCTACGCATAGCACAAAATATAACCGACAAGTTCACAGATGTATTGCTAACGTCTGGTCTATCGTTATTATGATCTGTACGCATCTATAGCTCTCCAATAGTCGTTCATCGACGAGGTCGGACGGCGACGACAGTAAAAGTCAAACCATTCAGTGGGTGGTAAAAATGGTAGTAAATTTGAACTTTGATATTAGCTATTTATAATTTTATTTCTACTGAAAAGAGATGATATTCAATTGAGTTTCCTTAAAATATTATTCCATATAAAATATCTTTCTTACAATTATTATATATTTTTCTTTAACCTATGGATTTAATAAAATATATCATCGGACCGTAAAACATATAAATAAAGACTCCGCAAAATTTGTTTTTCGCGATTACAAAATCATTTTATTTTGAAACAATTAAAACTAAAAAAAATTTCTTTGTATCTTTTCAATGTTCAAACGTTTAAGTTTGGAAGACACTGTCGTTGATGAACATATGCCACCTCCTTGGGTCTTATGATAAATTCAAGATCAGATATCTTCGGCAACGGACTAATATTTACACTGAACCAGTACCTTAAACTTGACCTCATCACTAATATCGCCGCAGGATTGACCCACTTATTCCTTTCACGTATCATAGTATTATTACAATATGCTATATGAATACGTGATATGAAATTATTAGTTAGGAGTTTGAATATTTTTCGTTTTCAAGACTAAATACAATTAGTCTATATAAATTCAAAAATAGAAATTAAAAACGTGTGTATCATATAAAAAAATAAATATTTTCTTTAAATTAAAAATTTACTATAAAACTCAAATTTTAGGTTAAAGTTACATAATTAATTTTAAATGTTAATGATAATAAAATAATTATGAACCGTCTGCACAATTATATTCAATTGAGTGATAATGTCGAAAATTCAGTTGTTTGAATTGTCCAATATTATGAAAATAAAAACCATTTTTTTGTTAATATATATTTATGTATAGTGTCTAGTAACAAATTTAATAAATATCTGTATCAAAAACGTAATCTAGTTGTAATTTTTAATATTAAGAACAATTTGTAATGATTAATTAAAGTGAATTTTAATTTTAATTGTATAATCAATGTGTATTAAAAATAAATAAAATATTTATATTTCCTAGTGAACAAAAAAAAACAATTTACTTTTACAATAATATTTAACATTTATTTTGAACCTAAACATAATATTATATACTATTTTTATAGTAATATTACAAAACTACAAACTATCTAATTACATTTCAAAAGAAGTAGCAACTCTTGGTATATTGGAACCATAAATGCTATAAAAGTGGTAGAAAAAATCAAATGCAGATAACAAATACAGTTGGATTTATTACAATTAATTATAAATATAATTTTAACTATAGTATAATTCATTCACTAATTATATATGTCACGTTAAATTTTTTAACAAATATTTTTCAGTCGAAAGTAATGTTCCATTTCTAATACTATCCCAAAACCATTGAGCGGTTACAGCAATTTTATTTTGATGTATATTCTACAAAAAATATATATATATAAGATATTTTATTTGTTAATATTCATTTTATGAGTTTTCATCAAAAAGTTCAAAGGTATTTCAAAATTCTGTATAGGTACCAGAATAAACGTATAAGGTAACACTTATTTTGTTACTATATTTATGTGTATATATATATATATATATATATACGATTCAAATGTTACTTTTTACAATAGAGACATTAAACAGGTTTTAACTTTCATTTTTATAAGTCTTAAATAGTTTTTTCACCTAAGTAGACCAATAAAATGTATACCACTAATTATAATTTACTAACTACACTGTACGTTCTAATAAATAAATAATACTAGCCCTGGTCAAGTTTTTAAGGTTAATGCAAAAAATCCGTTATACAATTTAGCATAAAAATATAATGCCATATAATCTAAACATTAAACAAAATAATTTTACCAAAATTGCAATTAAAAAATTCAAATTCAATGATAGAATTTTCAATTAGTTTTTCATTATTCCAAAGAATTTATTCATACCATCTTTCAATTTTTACTAAATTTTTATTACGTTTACGATTTTTAATAAATAATAATAATATTTATGTATTATTCTCAATAAATGTATTGTTAATATGGTATGAATAAATAATTTTTATTTGTAAAAAGAAATTGTAAAATTTAACTTACATGCATATTTTTTGACCAGGATTCATTATCAATTATGATGTGAGTTGCTTCAGTCGCATCATTAGAATCTAAAACTGTTCCTCCGTAGCTTAACAACCGTTAGTTAAGAGTTATTATTAATTATTTCAATTGTTTTTTTCGAAATTTTATAGACGCATATGTATCATATTATTAACGTATATATTATTGAGTGTCAAACCTCTTTACGGAAAAAACATAAATGTTTCCATCCGAAATAAATAGGCCGTTTAAAAAATTCAGTATGATATTTTGATTCTTATTTTAATCATTGGCGCAGCACAATCGATGTAGTTTATGAACCAAGATAAAAAAATGCGAAATGAAAACGATTTTAAGAATTAATATTATTACTAAATAATTATACAATTAGTGTTTCAGAGGCACAAATTAAACAAAATCAGTTTGATAGTATAAATTACGAGTTTTATGTTGATTAAAAAATAGATTGGTCAACTGATACTACTCAATAATTAAATTACAAAAATTTATAATCTATATATGTATAATAAACAATTAGAAATAATAAAAATGAATAAACAGGTATATTGGAAAAAAGTGACTTGAAATAAGGATAATTATGTTTGTTTAAAACACTAAAAATTTAAGCCGATAAAGTCATTGATTATTTACAGAAAATTGAATTAAACATGTAAAAAAGAAAAATCTAATGATGAAATTTTCTTCTAAAATGTAAACGTGTACAATAACACTACATTTTTCTTGTGCGTGCTATCTACAAAACACATTAACATAAGATAAACATTATTAAGTTAAAAAAAGGATACGCAATAAAATAACGTAAAAACTTGTTTTTTATTGGTGAATTTGGAACAACCAAATGAATTCCAGTAAACAAGTCAGGTAAGGGCTGAAACATTTTATTCATATAATTTAATGGATTGAGAAATATATGCCAATCCTGCTTCTTTATTAGAGTGCAAAACTGTTGCACTTTTCGAAAATAACATTATTAAAGATTTGCATTTTATAGAACAAATCGTTAATATTTTTAATAAGTTATACTACTATAGTCTCCTCTTCCAATTCATTATAATTTACAAAATTGATAAAAATTTACCTTTTTCGGACCATTTTCAGTTAGTTTAATTTTTTTTTTATTAGGTTCATCAGTATTTTTTGAACTTGAAGTTCCTTGTATGTACGAATCTAGAGTTCTCTGCAAAAAGTTCAAAGTTAAATTTTATTAAAACTTAAGTATTTCAAAAAACAAACGTTATGAAAATGCAATTATTTAAAAACAATATTTTTATGAATACGCTACCGTCTTCTTAATTAATAGACAATAAATATGAAATATTAACAGAAAATATAGTGATTAAATATACGATCAATTGTTCAGCAAACATAACGATTAAAATGTTAATACCATTGAAAGCATGCTGTGCTATTTAAAAGTCTATTTAACTTGTAGTGAAAATATACATCTGACTTTCAAATTATTTTACTATATGACTATATAATTAAAATTATAAAATTAATGATGTCTGAGATGTTTTCTTAGAAAGTAATAGTAATTTTGTTATTTTTTACAATTAAGTTATTAAGAGCTGTATTTTTACATAGTTAAGATCAATTATAATTGTAAACTATTAAACTGGAAGGTCATATCATATAAATATATTACTATTGGTGATATTATTGTAATATATTCAAAATAATAAATAATATAAAAATGACAGTAATATTAATAGCTTATATAAAAATTAGATTCCTTTTATTGAAAATTTCTAAAGTTATATGGTACTTATGAAAAATTACAAGAAATTGCACATTTTATCTTTAAATCTAGTCAGTATCAAAAAAACCCAGCACAGGGGGGTCGCGGCACAATGGTGACGTGGCATAGTTGAATCAAGTATAATGATATCTGACAGTGATTAAAATCATTATAAAAAAAAACGCTTCCATTCAAATCTTTAGATAGTGTTTAATTTTAAAAAATTGGTGGATTATTACAAAAGCTAAATGATCTCCTATTTCCTTATTTATATCCTGATTAAGATAAAGTATGTCGAATGAAAGAAGGATATAAATATTATTTTTCATAAAAAAATTGTATTGATCCATCCACCTTTCAATAAGTTATAGCATATTAAAGTAAAAAATGTAAAATATAAAATTGAGAATTTTCACACAAAAATAGCATTTGGTAGCCATTTTCACCATGAAGACAAAATAAAGTCCGAAATTTTTTTTTTCCATAATAAAGTACATTACATTAGCTTTAATTTAAGATATATATATATATATAAGTATCAGACTTTCCGGAATACCAAATGATAGGTAAAGACATCAAGCAACTATAAAAAAAAAAATTATATTGATTTGGTCATTTTTGAAAAAGTTATGGCAGTTTTAAGAAAAAAAAAATTGAAAATAGCGGTTTTTAAATTTGTAATTTTTTTTGGAGGTTTCCTCCATTTAAGGAGAACGAGGGAAATTTTTTCAATTTTTGAGGGTAATGTCTTCGACTAGATACGATTTGTGAACTTTTGACGTATCGTTGAAAGAAATCCGTTCAGTGAGAGCTGAAAAAAAGTAGTAACAGACACGAAAAAAAAACACATTATAGTAAAACCAATACCTTCTCAGCTTCGCATCAAAGCTAAAAATTAAATAATGTTACTATATACAAACTCCGTTAAATTTTTAAAGAAAAATAATTCTAACTATACAGAAATTTATTTTATATTAAAAATTTGGAAAACTGGGGTAACTATTTCATTGTAATAAACATTTCTTTAGAAAACTTTGAACTTAAAACAAAATTAAATGTAACCTTATCCTCTTAAACTCTTATACTAAACTTCCATTTGACATGATCTCACGCATCAGTCATCCTCATATCGCATTTAATAACATCATTCCATCTCTTTTTTGGTTTTCCTTTACCTCTTCTTCCCTCAACATTCAATCCCATAACTTGCATATTATCACTGATCTCCTCATTTCAACTTCCTCGTGTTCTCCTTTGGCAAACTCGTACTCTATATACCCTGTCTTACTTCTATTTATTCTTAATCCTTTTCTTTCAAGAGCCGATCTCCACACTTTAAGCAAACAAAATACCTATCATTTTTTTTGGTATTCCTCTACTTCTTCTTCCCTCACATTCATTTCTATAACTGTTGACAGCTTCCGATTCTTCACTCCTCATGACATGACCAAAACCATTTTATCTCATTTTATCCATGATTTACGCTACACCTAACTCTTAGATTGAATTAATTAATAATCAAAAATACAATTTCTTTAATGTTTTATACACTCTGACTTATAAAAATATTATAAATTAGTATAGTAATATTTTTTTTGATAACTCATGATAGATGAAGCTTATCATCTAATGCTTTTACCATAAGCATGGTGTTGGAAAATTTGAGTATCATTAAATATTATTGATATACCTTTTAAGTTCTAATTTGTTGTATCTCAAATTTAAGTAATATTAATATAAAAATATACTCATACTTAATTATTTACTTTCTTTTTAATTGAGAAATATTTACGCGTCGATCTCTAAATAACAAGTGTTTTTAAATGTTTATTCTCACACCTGAAAGTTGAACTCCTTTGTTAATTTTACATCATAGTTATATTACAGTATTTGTAATACAAAATACTCATGTACAATTGATGGAAATTTGGTATTGATAACATACTTAAATATACAGTGTATATACACGAAAGAAACAAATAATAGTTCTCTATAAAAACATTACACGAAATATTACCTATATCATAAGAGTTTAAATTTGTAATAATTGATTCAAATTACCTTTGTTTTCTTTCGTATTTTTGGTGATGGTGTCAACGAACTATTATCAGAGTCTGAATCTTTTGATGGTGAACTATGCGAGTCTCCAGAACAATTTTTGGAAAAAATATTTAAATTCTCTGTTTTCTTTGATAAGTTAAATAAATTCTAAAAAAATTTAAATAATTGATATTTACATTCAGTATTTTTTTAAATTCATTGATTGAATTTTAATTGCAAGCAATTAAAAGATCATTAAACAGTAAACGACATTCACTAAAAACTCGATATTAAAAATATTAAACTTCAAAATTTGTGATACAATTACAAAAGACACAAATGAAATTGCAAAATATTGTATTTTTATAACAAAAAATAAATATATTTATTAGTATTACCACTATAATTACACCACACTAACCTGTAATTCTGATAAAGAAGTAGCGCTTTCCCAATGTTTGTCATCCCTAATTTTCGTTACTCGTGGAAACCTTATGGATATACCATTTGCAGTGTGAATGTCTGCTTGAGAAAACTCAGCTCCAGAAATTTCCCAAACAGGCATTTCCTACGCATACAATATTTTTTTGTTTTTATATAAAAAAATTAACTCTGAACTAATTTACCTTTGGATCTTCTGCAATAAAATCTGGTATCATTGTTTTTGTACACTTTAACCAAGCAGGTATTTTAGTGGCATCTTTACTAATTTTTACCATTTTTAACTCGCTCTGATTTAGCAATAAAATTTAATATTTAATATTTAATTTTGTGGCTTTTGAGTTTAATATTTTTAATATTTTTTAGTTTTTTTAAATTAATAATATTTTTAATATAGTTTTAATTTTACTTAATTAACTAGCCACAAGTGATCAATTTTTATTATAT